GGCCGGTCCTCGGGCGCGCAGCACTTGCGCCGCCATCTTGCTCCGGAGCCTCGGCTCCCCCGCCCACCTCGGCCCGGCGCCGCCGTGACGCCGCGACCCCTCCCCCGGCCGGGTTGGGGGCAGACACGCTCAGAGGAGGGGCGTGGCGTGGGAGGGAGTGGGCGTGGCCTTTGCTGTGGGGGCGGAGCCTGTCGGCGAGGGACGGGGAATCCGAGCTGGCAGCCAGAACTACATCTTGTGCGCTCATGCTTCTAGTGCTCAGCTCTGACCCAGCAAGTGTGTGGAACGAGGCGCGGCTTCTTGTGCTGGGCAAATCCACACGAAAGGCGAAGCACTGTGGTCAAGGGACTCTATGCCTTGGAACGGGGACACTTGGAGTTTTGTATTTCATACTGCCTGAATATACGGTGGTACTGAATACACAGTGGTACTCGACTGCTTTGACACTCCTTCAATCTGGTTCTTGATTTTTTTTTTTTTTTTTCTTTCCTAGGCTGGCCCTGAACTCAATATGTAGCCCACGCTGGCTTCAAACTCACAGCACTCTTCCTGCTTCAGCCTCCCCCCCAAGGACTGGGTTTACAAAAGTGTAGCACCACGTGTGGCTTGGATGCATTTTTGGCTCTAAAAGTTTGTGCTTCGATTCGTAGTTTTTTTTTTTTTTTAAGCCATTTATTTATTTATTTATTTGTGTGTGTGTGGCCAGCTCAGCCCACCAGGGGGCAGGGCTGGCTGGCATGTGGTGCTGGGGATTGAACCGCGGTCCATGTGCTTGTGCTTTAGACCACTGAGCCATCTCACCAGCCCCACGATTCGTAGTCTTTTAGGTACTTGATGCACAAGCAAGGATGTGTCACTTGCCAACCTTAAGAGCACTGGTGCCTGGAAGTACCACTGTGTTACCATTTCAAAATCATAGCCCTTTAGTGGAGCATGGTGACACATGCCTGTTCAACCTAACGTTTAGCAGGCTGAGGCAGGAGGTTCCAACAATACAGGTACCTAGTGACTTAGGAAGAACATGTCTCAAAAAGTAGAAGTGTTTTTTTTTTTGCGCCGAATGCCTTCAAGGCATGACTGGCTGTCTTGTGTTGTGGGGATCGAACCACAGCAACCTGAGCCTGACTGCTTTGTTGAAGCAGCCACTTAAAGAACTGAGCTAAGGGGCAGGCCCCCTCAAAAAGTAAAAAAGCACTGGGGATGTACCTTAGTGCAAAGGTCCTGGGTTCGGTCCTACGTAGTGGAGACAGCAAGAGACAGAAAGACACATGCAAGCTTTACTCCAGCTGTTTTACCTAAGGACTACATTGTCCTCATTCTTGCCAGCAGGCACCACTCCAGGTACCTGTCCTAGGCTGTCAGGTACAGGATGTGAAAGGACAATTAGTTCATGCGTGTCAGGCACAAAGGAACAGCGTTGCGTAACGGGGCGGGGTAGCTGTGAGATGGGGAAGATGCCACAAAATTCCTAGCTCAGTTTTCAAGGTGTCGATCCCTGAAAACAGGAATACTTCTGACAGAAGCAGCCAATTCAGCAAAGGCGTGGGGTTCTGGATGACACTGAAAGATGTGTCCCGCAGGGAGGTAAAGGTCGCATCCCTGCAACCATGAAAACTTCGAAGGAACCATGTGTGAAGGCACAGTCTCCAGCTACCTGGGGGACGCTCGCGGAGGCTAACTGAAAGCTGCTGGCCACACTGGGGAACTGGAGGTCGCCCCGGGAGTCAAGGGACCCTCGCCGAGGAACAATCTATCTGATCATGTTGTCAAGGCTGGGAAACAACAGCCAACACCCACAACGTAGGGAGGTGAGGCTAATATGGCTCGAGCTTCAGTTCACAGTTGGTTTAGCTCTGGGACAGGGTGGCAGGGCAAAGCAGCCCAAAGCAGAGTAAGCGAAGGGCTCGCTGGGAGGTGGGCGGTCCAGGCCACGCCCAGGAACGCCTCCCAGCATCGCATCTAATTATAAAGTCTGTCCCGACCCACTGATAATTACCACATCCCCATGATCCAGTCGCCACCCGATGTCCCCATCTACGACGAGTGTGCCAGGCTTTGGGGGAGAGATATCTAAATATAAACAGTAAGAGTTGCAGCCATTACCTGACTGGATCAGAAACTGAAGACGTTAAATGGTGAGGGCCAGTGGGTGCAGAAGTTAGCAGTAACTTTCCGGAGGGAGTGGGGCCTTGCCCCTTGGAGCCTTTGGGATGCAGCCAGGCGCCCAGAGGCTGAGCTGGGAGCTCCCAATTTCAACTTACATGCTCTTAATACCTTGAGGTACTGCGGACCCAAAAAGGGGGCAGAAGGGAGCTCTTACTGGGACAGAAAGGACCTGTTCCTGTCCTCCAGATTAGGAGGAGGGGCCTTTTCAAGTGTGCATGAGACCCACTCTTTTGCATACATTTCCTCAACTTTTCCATTAAAAAACCAAAAAGTATGTATCTGGTACAGGACTTCACTACAGAGCTCAGACTAGTAGTGATCCTCCCGTCTCACCCTTCCGAGAGCAGTGATTTCAGGTGTGTAGCGCCTTGCCCGATCTTAGTGGCAGCTCAGCATACCATGCAGTACTGGGGATCGAACCCAGGTCCATGTGCTTGATGCAGGCAGGCACTTAGACCGCTGAGCTATCTCTCCTGGCCCACTTTTCCTTTTCTGGTCTTTTTGAGACAGGGTTTTTATATGCAATTCAGGCTGGCCTTCAGCCCTATGTAGCCCAGGCTCGTCTTGAACTATATAGATCCTCCTGCTTGTCTCCAAAATGTTGAGTTTATAGGTGTGTGCCACCACACCTGGTTTTAAGACAAATACTTTCTCCTAGAATGCAGATTTGGTAGCTAGTCATTTCTTTTTCCTCCAGTACTGGGAATTGAACCCAGGACCTTACACTGAATTAGATCCTCAACCCTTTTTTTTGGAGACAAGTGTTTTGCTGAATTTCCTAGCCTTGAATTTGTCATCCTGCTTCAGCCTCCTGAGAAGGGTAGCTGGACATCTTTGCTTATGTTGTTTAGGGTGAGAGACTGTTCTGCCCCTGCCTCACTTTTTGCTCTAAAATGTCATTAATCTGGTGCTTTTTATGGGAGGTGAGAGGGGTTTATTTCCATAAACTTAGCAACTTCCACTGGCCATGCATGTGCACATGTAAATCCCAGTTCTCAGGAGGCCAGCCTGACCTGCACACTGCCTCACAAAAAACACTAAGTGAGACAGGAGGATCAATCTGAGTTTGATGGTAGCCTATATAGTGAGTTCAAGGCAGGCCTTAGCTATGTAACGAAACCTTATCTCAAAAGAAAAAAAATAGGGGTTGGTGAGATGGCTCAGTGGTCTAAGGCACCTACTTGGAACAGGCTTAGCAGAGCACAGGGACCGCGGTTCAATCCTCCAGCACCACATACCAGCCAGCCCCGCCCCCTGGTGGGCTGAGCTGCCCACCCCTACAATAAATAAATTTAAAAAAAAAAAAGAAAAAGAAAAAAATAAAAATAAAAACCTAGCAACTTCCTAAAGCATTTTTACCCAAAGATTCCCAGGAATTTTCTTTTTTTGACAGAACCAGGGATTGAACTCAGGCCTTTGTGCTTGCCAGGCAAGTGCTTATTCTACTGAGCCATCTCTCTGGCCCCAGGAATTTTGTTTTCAATGCTATGCCTTTCATTTAAATAAAAATGTTAGTGTGTAAAATTTAAAACAAAAATAAAATTTTGAGGCAAGGTCCTGCTATGTAGTCCAGGCTGACCTTGGAACTATCTTCCTGCCTCCTGAGCATTGGGATTACAGGGGTGCGCCACTGTGTCCTGCAGTCCTTTAAAGTATTTTGGAAAATAAAAAAATAAGTAAAATAAAGTATTTTGGCGATGACTTGGAGTCTGTCTCAGAGCTGGTATACGGGGGTCTTGTCATTTGCTGAGCGCACCTCTTGGGGGACACTTCCAGGCTGAGGAGCACTACACAGCCACCTAGAAGAGGCCTAGACACTAAGGAGCTTTCCTCTCATTTACTCAGCCTGACAGCCACCCAAGTTCTACTGCAAACATCAGCAGCCTCAGTTCACCTCTAAGCCACAGGTAGGGCTGAGAACCAGTCTTTCCCAGCCCAGCCCACACTCTCTACACTGCTGTTCTTTTTTTTTTTTTTTTGCAGAACCGGGGATTGAACTCAGGCCCTTGCGCTTGCCAGGGAAGCACTTATTCACTTATTCCACTGAGCCATCTCCCCGGCCCCTACACTGCTGTTCTTTAACTTCTACTGAAATGTAAATTGAACTCTATTATCTTTGAAAACTTGAATCCACTCTCAATTTACAGTATAGCGCCTATTTTTGGGTTCCACGGTATTCTAGCAATTCCCTATTGGTTTTAGAACCCCTGGTTATGCTCCACTCTCTCTGAGGATTTTACACTCCTCCTTCCGTCTGAAATACCCTTCCCACATGCATTTTTTGCCAGCCCGGAGACACTGGTCATCTCTCCTGGGAAGCTAATCTCTCTCCGACCAACACATGATCCTGTTTGCCACAAAGGTGCCTACGCACAGCTCCCCACCCGGTGAGCACATGACCAAGGCCTGCAGCCATCACGAAACCCTGTTAGCTGCGGTGCAAACGCATCTCAAATCACTGTTTATACCAAAAGTTTTCTTCTCCTAGTATAGAGGTTCTAAGATAAATTCAAGATATTTTTGAATGAAAACAAAGTAAAACAGTACACCTTCTAAAACAGTAAGCTTCTAAAATAACATAGATTGCTAGGCACATTGACTATGGTGTGAAAATATGTTCACTGGAAAAGCTGAAACATGACACAAACCTTTATGAAAAATTGTAACAAGTCCTTTACTATTTCATAAATGCCAGGAGAGAATTTGACACAGCTTGTAATTAAATTTAGAAATCTTTCCCTGTCTCATCTTCCTTCTCTTCACTGTGTTGAAGAGATGTTGAGTTCTTCCAGAGCTTTGCTGAGCTGAGTGGTTTCCGAGCTGATTGGACTCTCCAGATAGCTGGTTCCTGCACAGGGCTTTCCTGATATTGGATCTATTGTTCTGCCCACTTTGAAGACGATCTCAGCCAGTTCATGTTTCACGTGCTTTGTTC